GATCGTTCCCGTGGCCTCCTCTGGCCCCACTCCAGCAGGGCCACATCTTTCCCGCACTGGGGACCCCCAAGCTGGATGCAAGGCCCCGGGGATCTCACCAGAGCGGAGCCGAGGGGGAGCATCCCCCCCCCTTGCCCTGTGGGCCCCGCTGCTGGTGACACAGCCCAGGGGACGCTTGGCTTTCTGGGCTGCCAGCACCTGCCCCATTTGCCACCCACCCATATCCCCAAGTCCTTCTCCACAGGGCTGCCCCCACCCCATCTGCCCCCCAGTCTGTGCCAGTACTGGGAATCACCCCCACCCAGGGGCAGGACCTTGCACGTGGCCTCGTGGAACCTCAGGAGCTCTTCCAGCCTGCCCAGGTCCCGTTGGGTGCCGTCCCGTCCCTCCAGCACATCAACTGCCCCGCTCAGCTTGGTGTCACCTGCGACCTCCCCACGGGTGCACTCCATCCCCCGATCCATGCCATCGCTGAAGCCATTATGGTCCCAGTATGGACCCTTGAGGCACATCGCTCGTTACTGGTTTCCACTTGGACGCTGAGCCGTTGACTGTAACTCTTTGGATGCGGCCAACTCCTTGTCCACCCGTAGCCTTCCAGCGTAGAGGTGGAGCATATACAGGGCCCTATGGAAGTCCAGGTAGATGACATCAGCTGCGCACTGATGACATCACTCCATCGTAGAAGGCCGTTAAGATTAGGGGGAGTGAAATCCCTGCGTGGGCTCGCGATACCAATAAACAACCCCCGACGTGCTCTGCCCTCTCTTCCAGGGGCGGACGCCGACGGAGCAGGAGTCCGGACAGGCGACGCCGATGATGGATCCTCATTCCTACCTGTGCGTTCCGAGTCCAAACTGGGGAAACTGGGACGGGGAGGGGTTTGTACGTTGGGGATGGGGCATGGAGGGGTAGAACAGGTCGTCGCTTTGGCAAATTTGCTTCTTACAAGATTTTATTGTTTTCAAACGAGAAAGCGGGAGTGAAGAAGCAACGCGGGGCGGGGGAGGGGAGGCACCTCCGCTTGCGTTGGCGGCAAACGCGGCCCCCGAGCCCGCTCGCCGCTCGAACCGCCGCGTCTGTAAGCCTTCTGTCGCGCCTGCGAGTGACCTGACGTTCTGGCTGCTCTTCTTTTTTTGGAGAGAAGCTGTTTTCCGTACCCCAGGCGAACGTTCCGGGGGGAGGGGGGAGTTTTGTTCCGTGGGCTTGGCACTGGGGAGCGAGCTTGGCCTTATTTTAAATAACCCTGACTTTGTGTGAAGTTCTCTCGTTCGTTGTCCTTAATTAAACCTTCTCGTGCCCCTTGCTGATTTTAATTTGCCTGAATCAGCCGCTGGGGCAGCTCTTGATCTCAGAATCACAGAATCACAGAATGGCAAGGGTTGGAAGGGACCTCAGGAGATCATCTAGTCCAACCCCCCTGCTAAAGCAGGCTCACCTAGAGCATGCTACACAGGACTTCATCCAGGCGGGCTTTGAATATCTCCAGAGAAGGAGACTCCACAACCTCCCTGGGCAGCCTGTTCCAGTGCTCTGCCACCCTCAGAGTGAAGAAGTTCTTCCTCATATTCAACTGAAACCTCGTATGTTTCCGTTTGCACCCATTGCCCCTAGTCCTGTCGCTGGACACCACTGCAAACAGACTGCTTCCATCCTCGTGACTTCCGCCCTTAAGATATTTGTAGGTGTTGATAAGGTCCCCTCTCAGCCTTCTCTTCTTCAGGCTGAACAAGCCCAACTCTCTCAGCCTTTCCTCGTAGGGGAGGTGCTCCAGTCCCTTTATCATCCTAGTTGCTCTCCTCTGGACTCTTTCTAGGAGTGGGGCTTGTTCAGCCTGGAGAAGAGGAGGCTGAAGGGAGACCTGACTGCTGCCTTTCAGTACTTAAAGGGGGCCTATAGTAAAGATGGGGAAAATCTTTTTAGTAGGGCCAGCTGTGACAGGACAAGGGGTAATGGTTTTAAACTGAAGCAGGGTGCCTTCTTGGCAACAAGGGCACATTGCTGGCTCATGGTCAGCTTATTGTCCACCAGGACTCCCAGGTCCCTCTCAGCAGAGCTGCTATCTAGCAGGTCATCCCCCAGCCTGTATTGGTGCATGGGGTTCGACCTCCCCAGGTGCAGCACTCCCCAGGGCAGGCAGGAGAACCGTTCTTTAGTTGAAAAAGCCATTTTTCCTTAAAATCCCATTAGGAAGAGACGGCTTTAGCTGCGCACCGCTCCGTCAGGCCGGTGGGCTTGCTGGATTCTCCCCGTGCCCCCCCGCCCAGGTGAAGGGGCACATTTTAAATTCTGTATTTCTGTATTTTATTTTCCCCCCCGCCGCCCTGTGGCATCTCTTCAAGGAATTCCTGCCCTGGAATGCTCTCTTGCCGCGCGGCT